TGATCGGGAGTCTACTGTATTTAACGGCAAGTAGACCTGACCTGTGCTTAAGTGTGGGCGTATGTGCCAGATATCAAGCAAAACCTAAGAAGTCTCACCTACTGGCAGTGAAAAGGATAATCAAATATGTCAAATGGACAATTGATTATGGGCTACATTATACAAAGGATACGAGTACACATCTAGTAGGATACTGTGATGCAGATTGGGGAGGAAATACGGATGATCGAAAAAGCACATCAGGAGGATGTTTCTTTTTGGGTATCAATCTCGTATCATGGCACAACAAGAAACAAAATTCAACATCATTATCCACTGTTGAAGTCGAATACATCGCACTGGGAAGTTGTTGTACTCAATTAATGTTGATGAAGCAAATGCTGACTGATTATGGAATTGACACTCACTCTTTTACAAATCATTGTGACAACACAAGTGCAATCAACATCTCTAAGAATCCAGTACAACATTCACGAACTAAGCATATAGAGATAAGACATCATTTCCTCAGAGAGCAAGTGGAAAAAGGGAGTCTTATGATTGAGTACGTACCCACTGAACATCAATTAGCTGATATATTTACTAAACCACTTGACATGAATAGATTTACGTGTTTGCAAAAATCTCTTGGTATTGGAAATTTTTGATTTTGATCACTAACTGAGTTTGTTCTGAAGTGTTTAAGTGAAACAGTGTTGAAAGGGCGGTCAGTGGTACCTCACAAAGTAGTCAGGTGCACTTCAGACATTGGTGATACGAAAATCCTTTGGTACTCCTCTGTCAGCTTATACTCAGGCAAAAAAAAAAAAATGAGTGATGATTTGTGTTTGTGTTTCGCTTGGTGAAGTTAAAAAAAAAAAAGGGAACTGACATGAGTAGATTAACAAAATCGCTCGGGTCTAAGTTGAACAACATACAGTTCTTTCGACGGTCTAAGGTCAGATGTAACTGATTCATCATACTCCGCTGTAAGGTGATACTTTACAAGAGTATATCTCAATGAGATAGACTGGGCTTAAGTGGTGAAACAGTATGATTGGATTCAACGTCCTAGAAGTTCAGGCGGATGAAAAAGCACTGGACGAAGAGTGAGGTGTCACTGACTCAACTGGATACACTGCGAACTAAGGTACGAAAGAATAAATTCCCTTGGTGTTAAAATCGTAATTTTATCGCGTAACGGATTTCTGTTTTAAATGTTTTTGAACGTTATTTCTCGAAATGATTGATGTGAGTGGTTGAGTAAGTTTTCGGTTATTGGGAAGTGGGATCCGAAAAATCAGAGATTTCTCAAACAAACTCATTGCCCCACAATAAAAAGAAGTGTTTTCTCTCTATCCCTGCGAAGTTCTGGTGCAAAAACCCTAAATCAGAGAGGTTGATTCGCAAGAGAGTTGTGTGGTTCAACAGAAGAAAAACGCAACGAGAGAGTGAAATTTCAAGTGTCAGACTCAACATGGATCCGAAAGAAAGGAGAGAAGATGCTGGTGAGGATCGTCACCCAGAATCAGAAGAAGAAGGTTCATATGGAGAAGAAAAATCGAGTGAACTCAGAAAGGAAGAATCTTCGAACTCGTTCGTGAGTGCGGAAGAAGATCCAGAAGAAGACCCATCAGAAGAATCTCGCAAAAATCCGAGAGAGATTCGACGAACTAGCAAGAAAGAAACAGCGGGTAATGAAATCCAAGAACTCGATAGCCCAGAGGAGAAGATTCAAGGAACAGACGCGGAGATCCCAGAAGAATTCCAGGAAGGAAACCCTAGGATCGAAGATGAATGCAAGGAAATTGAGGATCTACAAACCTCTCTGCCTCCAGAACAAGTTGATACGGGTAAACTTGATGAACTCTTCACTTACTCTAATAGAGATATAGAGGAAAGTACGGATAGTGAGCCTAGGTTGAGAAGAAAAAACACAAGAAGGTGTGTAGATTTTGATGTGAGTGTAGAGAATATAGAATCTGGGAAGGATGTGAGTGATACATCCAAACAAATGGAGAAATTGCCCTCAGTTCAATTAGGGCAGGAGAAATCGAAGGATGCTGAAATCGAAGTGGTTGCGGACTCAGCAACGGAAACAGAAGTACTGAAATCAAAGGAGGATGATGAACCTGAGGTGGACTCACGTGCTCAAAAGGTTGAAAGCAAGAAACCTAAGGCAAAGAGCGCTGAGAGAAAGGGCAAAGTGTCTGACTCTCGAGTGATAGCTGAACAGAGAGCACGGACCAGATCTCAATTGGCTGCAAAACCAGTGACAACTGCTAAAAGTCCTCCTAAGAAGATACAAAGGAAGACAAAATCACAGCCTGCGTTGGTGATTGCTGAGCATAAAACTCCGAAGAAAGCTGAGAAAAGAAAGGCTGGACCAGCAAAGGACATGCCCCGAGCAAAATCCTCAAAGGTTTCTGAGGAATACCAAAAGGAGAAACTAAAGGGGAAGAGAAAGGTTCATGAAGAGAGTGAGATACCCAGTTCTCCTTCTGGGTCCGAAGATGAGGAACTACTGGCGAGCCTGTGCATGTCTCATCACTTTGTTGATGAGAAATCTGAACAAAGGTTCAATGACATGAAGAATCTCAACACGATTGTGGAGAGGAACGTGAATGTCAGCAATCTCAAGGAGCAAGGGATATGGGACATCCTAGAACGTCTGAATCTAGAAGAGACAGTCACTCATGCATGTCGTCACAGCAAAATTCTGATCAAAGAATTTTATGCAAACATCACGAAGAAGATTGTGAAGGCTGGAGATCCAATGTACCATTGGGTGTACATAAGAGGGAAGATACTGCACTTTTCTCCAGCTGTAATCAACAAGTTTTTGGGCTTGAAGAACTCAGTTGTGCCTATCATGGATGAGCTGGACAGGGAGATTGACCAGAAAGAGCTGGAGATAGCTCTCACTGACACCTTTGATGAAAAGAGGAAAGGAGAAATAACCCCAGTGGAGCTAAACTTTGAGGCTTCAGTACTGTTCAAAATAGCCAGAGCTAACTGGTTACCAACCCAGCGATCAAGTCTGATCCACAAGAGGCTAGCAGTTTTCATCTACTGTGTGAAGAAAGGGATAAAGATCAACTATGGAAACATGATCTTCGATCATATTCTGGAAAGAGCACTGAACTTCAGAGCAAGGTTCAGATTACCTTATCCCTGCCTAATTCAGAGCATCCTCACCAAGCAGTGCCCGGAACTCATTGACCCAAAGGAAAACACTGAAGTAATTCAGAAACACTTGGTGGTTGAGACAAGAATCAAAAGGAAAAAGGGTAAAGGAAAGAAGGACTACAAGAAGATGCTGGAGACCCTCAAAGATGCAGAAAAAGCATTGATAAAGATGGAGCTCGGACTAAGGAAGCAGGCAACACATTGTCAGCAAATCCGTGCAACAGTCCACGAATATGTTGAAGCAACTCTGAGTAATGTGTTCATTATTCATTCAGGTACTCATCACCTTGATATTATTGTTTATGATTATCATTATTCATTCAGGTACTCCTCACCTTGATATTATTGTTTATGATTATTTCATTCATGCCCACAGGGGGATAACTTGAGGAAGCAGAAGGAAATCTCGACTCAGAAGAAGAAGACTCGAATGAGGAGGACGAAGAAGAGGATTCTGAGATGCCTAAGCCGACGCCTAAGCCGATCCCTAAGAAGGTCGAAACATCCCGGAAGTCAGGAACAAGCAGGAAGACAAGGAAAGCAAGGAGTCCTTCAGATGATGACTCATCTCTTTGTTTCTAACTTTTTCTTAGATGATGATCTGAATTTCTGTGTTTGATGACTCTGTCTGTTTTGATGACTTATGTGGGGTTGTGTGATAACTCTGCTTTTGGTGTTTGTTTTAAACCTTGATGATTTCAGTTGAAGGATTCGTGTTTGTGTGCATGATCTGAAATAACCAAAAAGGGGGAGATTGTTAGTGCAAGTATTCGCACGTGTTGTTTTGGTTGTTAAAAAGTTGTTGCAGGTTCAACAACCTATGAGAGATTTCAGGAGAAGAATCCAGCGAAGATTGCACTCGAGCAAATCTGAGGTACAACTGACGAGATTCAGATAGAGTCAAAGACCGAAGAGATAAAGTCTAAGGCTGAAGAGATAGAGTCAATAACAAGAGATAAGGCGAGATCCTGAAGATAGACTCGAAATCAACAAGAATCAAGAAGAAGTCGATCCAATCACTTCGTGAAGATCTAAGGACGAACCAGAAGAGTTTAAATAGAGGGACGTTTGGCCGGTTTAGATTATTCTTCCGCTGCATGAAACCTAGTAAACCAAACCCTAGATCGATATGATCGCATGCTAGGAATCCGTAGCGAAACCCAACAAGTTAGTAGACCGAGAGGTGAATTCTCTACTCTTGTTGCTTGATGATTTCCGAATACAAGTACGATATCGTTATTCTCGCATGCTTAGCATATACCCATACACGCGAATACGATGCCGATGTTGGTTTAGTGCTCTATGATGTACTATTTGCGAGCTTTACTTGGATGCATTTGATGTATTGACTCTTTCTATGATTTATGGGTTAGTGTTTTATTCATTACATGTTTTGCATACTTAAATATGTTATGAAATCCATGTTTGTTATGAACAATACTAAACTCTTGATCACTTGCGTGACGAGTCTTAAATTTGTAACCCGAAACACAACTAATCCGCAAGTATATGGATGTCGTAGTACCGGGGTCGAACACAAGGACTTAAGCGGTTAAGCTAGGAGTCGACTAACACTAGGAAAATGGTAAAAATAAAGTTGATGATTGTTTTGTAGTTTTGAAAGTTGTAGAAAATTAAATGAGAGAAATAAAATCAAAGCAAGCAATAATTCAAAAAGGGAAAAACAAATGGCCATGGGTTATGGATTTCGGGGTTCACCAACATGCGGGATGTGTTAAATATTGGGAATCTATTTCATACTTCCTTTGAAATTGGGGATTTCAAGATAAAGATCGGGATTTGCTCTCTCAAGGTAAATGCCCGCTACCCAAGAGGACATTCCATTTACTTTCGTAACTTGGAATGGAATCTTGAGTGCATTGAACTCTCTTGTCAAAATCCTAGGTTGGATTGAATCGAATTTCTTCGCTTTCAATCACAACCCTATTGAATGAATGCATCAAGGAGTCGAGGTGTCATGTCTCCATGGAAACCAAGACTCTAAAATCAACTCAAGGGATTTTCATCCCAAGAGAGCATTAAAATCCATTCATCAATCCAAAGCATTCATTTTCATTCAATGGCAATCCATCTACTCATGAATCCTAAGTCTCCAAAGAGATTCAATCAAAGAGGGATATAGAAAATAAGCATAGAAATCACCCATTGAATGAAATGAAGGTCTAATCAAAGTATAAACATAAATTCATCAAGTGGGTTCACACATCCTCACATGAGGATTCACCCTCAACCCATAACTATCTAACTACTCACAACCCATGTTCAAAAGCAAAGCACAACAAGGGTAAAGTGCAGAAATCATAGAGAGAGTAGAGAGATGCTCAAGAAATCTTCAATCTTCAATGGAGTTTTCTCCTTCTTCTTTCTCCTCCAAGAGCTCTCCTTTTCTCTCCCCAAGGTCTCTATTTTCGGCCCCCAATCAAACTTAGAGTTCCCTTGACTCCTTTTCCCTCAAAAACCCGAAGAGACTGGCGAAACGGCGTAGTTTTGGCGGAGTCTGTCAAGTGGTCCGTCCGTTCTAGGTTGGTTCTCCGTCAGACCGTCCGCTCTCCATCTTCAGACTGTCCGTTCTAAACGTGTAGACCGTCCGTTCTGACATGTAGACCGTCCGTTCTACGTTGTGCTCCAGGCCGTCCGTTCTGGCTCGTGGTTCGGAGGGCTGTCTTGTGGTCTGTCGGGTCTGTGCACCCAGTCCGTCCGTTCCAGCATATGGGTCCGTCCGTTCCAGACCTAAAATCTGGGGAATTATGCTTCTGTCTTCTCCGTTTCGTCCCGAAAACCCTCGAGTTCCTGCAATGGTCAAAATCTAGTCCCTGAGACCTAAAGATGGCTCTAATATGCCTAGTGTGTGTGGGAACCGTTTAGAAACCAAAGGCATACTCGGTGTAAAATCCAGATGAAATCCGAGCCATCAGTGGTGGGACTCAGAGAACTGACTCGGTCCGAGTCAGAACAAAGGAAGGCCGAGTCAACACTTGACTCGGTCGAGTTAGAACTCTGCGACACCGAGTCTGAAGCTAACAAAGCTTCGAAGTGTTCCAGCGACTTGACTCGGTCCGAGTCAAGCTTTGACTCGGTCGAGTCAGAGTACAGAAGCTCGAATTTCTCCTCGGTTTCATCGTCTAACGCCTGTGTGAGTTCCCTAATGTCCTCTCACTAGCTGTAGCACCATCCGTGTCGGCTTAAGCTCACCAATATTAAGCATCTTGTAAATGGACAACGGTAGTAAACTGACGCTATCACCAAGGTCGCACAATGCACGGTCTATCGCAATGTTTCCGATTTTGCAGGGAATCGAAAAACTACCAGGATCTGATCTCTTCCGTGGCAACTCATGTTGTAGAATCGCAGCGCACCTCTGTGCTCAAGGATACTGTCTCCTTCCCAATCACCCTCTTCTTAGTCAAAATATCTCTCAAAAATTTCACATATGAAGGGATCTGGAGTATAGTCTCATAGAAAGGCATCTTAACCTCTAACTTCCGAAGCATATCAACAAATCTAGACAACTGTGTATCCTCAGTATGCTTCTTCAATCGCGAAGGGAACGGAACGGGTGGTAAATAAGGTGGAGGAGTTACATATGGCGGTTCGGCTTCCTCTACATGCACCTTAGATGTCTCTTGAGCTATGGCTTTCCCTTTCTCATCAGCAGTGTGTCTAGACGTCGTCCCTTTTTCTGTGGTAGTAATAGGGACCGTCTCAAGC